TGATGCAGGAGACTTCTTTAGAGTGACTGGTCCTCCTCTTTGTAACGCTATCCGGTTGAGCCAATTGAAGAGACAGGGCCACGTAAGGCTTTTAAAGCTCTTTGTTCCATTAATGCCGCAATTTGCAGAGGAACTGCATTGTTACTGGTGACAAATATTAGGCTGAACAATCGGCGGCATAATGATGGTGAAAATGGCGTTCTGAGGCAGAGCGCTTAGAGCCGCGGCGATAGCATCTGTCTGTGGTCTTTATCATTAAGCAGATAACAGCTCCACTGACTTTAGCTTGTATCGCAGCTCATTACGGAACGCAGATCAGCTCTCGCTGAAGTTCGGCTCCGTTAGGTTCTCTTCTGGTTCAGCTACAGTGAATGCTGACAGTCTTCACAGTCGGTGCGCTGATAAAAAGGCAGCAAAGTCTGACGAAACACTTTGATTGAAGAATTGGAATCGAGGAAGTAGCCTCCACACGTTTAACTCAGCTATAGTATGAAAAATACCAACAATATTCATCGGACACCTTTCTCCTGCTAGGCTAAATGTTGGAAGTCAAATAAGGTAACGCGATGCAGATGCTGGGTGGGGAGTTCGGGAGGCTGTTTAGCTTTTGCCAATGGGTCTACAACGTTTACCCATGGTTGAGTTAGTAGTCGTTAAAAAATGGCTTACAGTCCCGTGAAAGTTTACCAAATGAACACAAAGGCTAAATATTTCCAGGGAAGCTGTTGTACTGTTATTTAGCACTTACTAGTCGACTTTGGTACAAGAAAACCTCAGAACCTTCAGACCACAGTGGCTATAAAACTGTTATTATCATTGCTCTGGGTTTTTGTTTTGTTTGTTGCAAGAAGAGAAGGTACAATACTAATTCAAGTCTGTCATTCTCGGCTACAGGCCTTGGTTTTTGTTTCTGCAATAGAAATGTTTCTTCTGGTTTGGCCTAGTCTCAGATTTATTCACTGGTTTTAATATAACTCTGGTTTTCTCAGACACACATGATGGCCATCAAATCACAACACATGTTGGTAATGTGTATAGTTTCATCTTAGTCTATACTTAATCCTTGGAGCTATTTGTGTACACACGTTGTTTGAGCATGTTTTTTTTTTTTTTTTCCTTGACTGGATTACATTAAAATTTGAACTTCAATCTCACAGAGAACCCCTGGAAAGCACTAAAGATAAAGGTGATGGAAGGGAGGCATTTGAACCTCAAAAGGGTTGGATATCAACACTGATAATAAACCGTTAGGAAACCAGTAGAAACTCATCAGTCCAGTTTGTGCTTGGTGCATTCACTGCTTGGAAAAAGGGTAAATTTTTGAGCTTCATGGCTGAAAATCTTCCAATTTTTATTGGATAATTTCTCAGTGGTTCCTCCCTACATTTGTATGCAGTGAAATAGTTCAAATTAATATTTATTATACCAATTTGCTTCGTTTTACGAGCACATCATATCCTGCTTCCTTCATGTTTGGATATTAAGACATATTTTCTCAGGTATCCATGGCTTTATTTCTCCCAGTAGTTTTTTTTTAACGTCTTTATTCGGGATTTGTTGCTCCTATTTGATTCTGTCTGTTCCTCAAGAATTGATCCCACTCCATGGCATTCTTTTTCCTTCTATCCTTTGAACCTCCGTTGCTCTCGATTGTCTTTCAAATAAAGACAGATTAATAAGCCTTGAACAGCTATGTTTTGCAACACAACATAATTGCAGGAGAACTTAATCTAAGCGGGCGAAAACACACACGCGACTAAATGGAGACCCACCGAGAAAGGGGGAACAGCATCACACTGTGCTCCGACTCTCACAGCTCACACACAAATACCTCACAAGCACATCGTCTCTCTCTGAGGCGAGCTTCCTGGGAGAGAGGTGAGCAGTGAGAGATAAACTGATCAGGCAGAAGTCAATATACTGGAAGTGATTATGTGACAGTGCGTGTTTGTGTAAAGCTGTGTTTGTCAGCGATAGCGAGCCGAGAGAGACGTTGGTGTTCAACAGCCGCCAGGAAGGAGACGTTAAGAGAAAGCAGTCAAAGGTGAAGAGAAAGAGGAACACAAGGAATAGCCTGAGATTAGACATTTGTATTTTGTGAATTTTAGTTGACATATGAAACAATAGCCCTGGTGGTCTTTAAGGAAAAGAAAAAGGAAAAAAAGAAAGCGAAATATCGCACAAGTTAATTTGGTTTCACTACTTTATTGAAAACACACTTCTCTGTGTTTCCCATGTTTTCTCAGTCCATTTAATTTAAATACACCTTCAGGGCACTGCAGCTTTAACACTGCAATCAAAGCCGTGAGATGTATTTATTTAACATTCCTCATAACACCTATTGCATCACACTTGCTGTTGTTTATTTCTGTTTCGGAGACAAAAGAAGAAACCCTGAGTAAACTGGTTTTATCACCAAGATTTTAAGTCAGAGATAAAAAAACAAAAAACAAAAAAAAAACAAAAACAGGATACTGATGAATTAAATGGTCAGGATAAGGCAAATGTGACCGAAACATAAATATTTTTAGTCTAATTTATAAAATTATCTTAAATTAAAAAGTTTAAAAACACAAAATTGACAGTCCATACCATTTTCTCCTTCTTACGAGTTCTTGTGAGAACCAACTAGCTGAAGTCAAAGTTCTCTTAGACCAGTGACAACCCACTGCTCCAACACAGCTGATACAAACTCCAGGATTATCTCATTTTAATCAAGTGTTTGGAACCAGGAGAATGTCTGAAACATGCAGAACTCCAGTTCTCAAGGAACAAAGTGGGATGCTACAATGACAGACTTTGAACTACGCGACTGCCCACAAGATTCATCAGTGAACTGAGAGAAAATGGATTTTAATGTCCACTAATTGTATGCAAGTACAATTATGAAATCAGTAAGCTAATTAAGTCAATCAATCAGCAATCAATCAATAAGCCTGCATGTGGTTCAGGTAACAAACAGACAAATATGAACAATAATTATAAAAGACACACACAAAAAAAGCAGAACTTTGTAGAAAACTGTCCTTTGGCATTCAGAGAAATTTTCAAAAAGCAAATGCAGGGTAAGCTTTTATGTTAGTAGTATCTGCAGCTAAAATATGCAAATATATAGCCCTGAAAATGACTTGATTATGGCACGAACTGAAGCGTATGAACCATTTTAGAATCCAGCCTTGGATGTTGATTGAAAAAAAAAAAGGGGGATATAGCTGTCTTTAATCTGGCTAAGCATACTGTATGGTAATCCGCTCTGGCTCACTTCTTAGTCTTATTCCTCCTATTTCTATTCGCAAAAATGTTTAATCTGACAAAGATTACTGTTGCTCACTGCTCATGCCTTTCATTGTTTATCCCCCCACATGCGTTGATATCTGAAGTCGTGTTTCTCTTTGTATTCCTCCCAGCTCGTCTTTAACTTTGTAAATACATGGAGTCGTGGTTAATGGGATTATTTTTTAAAGGAAAACATAAGAAATGCAACTGTAGATGTATAAATAGAAAAACTCCGTCTCAAAAACTGATGGGGCAGAATTTATTTTTTCAACTTTGCCGATTGTTCTATTGTTGATATCCATCGACGTCAACAATTGGACGGCTTTACTTGAATAAAAAGACAAGATTTGGAAAGCTCAGAACTAAATCTGACAGAAAATAAGTTTAGTCACTCAAAGAAGGCTGTAAGACAAGAGTTTTCCAGTTAATCTGGTGGATATGGAGAGACTTTACAAGGTAGAGAGAGTAGATATTCCTAAGTAAAGACGTAGAATGCTCCTACCAACGTCGAAGGGATGTCGTTATGCATGTATCCCCATGTCAAATTCATCACAAAAACATGGTATTTCAGCAGGTGGATAAAAATTTTAAGCACGTGTAAGATGTACTTATTTGTAATTTAAGGCTGACACAGGTACAAAAAATATCATTTTAAAGATTTTTTTGAGCCGGTATTATCTTGTTCTCTGGCGTAACCTATCTTTGAAGGACAGGAACAAAGTGATGGGAACTACAAACAAATAGAAGCTAAATGGTAAATCTCTGTTTACCAACAGGCTCCGCGTATCAGACAGGATGATAGTATGCCTTATTCAATCAAGCCTTAGAGGGAGAATATCAGCTTCTTTCTCTGGATGCAGGTTCGCTGTACCAGAAGGACAACGGTGTGTTTTTAGAAGCTTGCCTATTAAAAGCACTATCCATCTAAAAGCATCAATAAGGGAAACAAAACTGAATTGACAAGAGATTGTTGAAGTGCTGTGTGATATAAATAAATGCTGGAGTAAAGCAGAAACCAAGTGGTTAATAGACTGTTTTTGCATTTACATCATATGCATTTCACTTTTCTGTTTCTAGTGAGATTTCTGTATAAATGAAAATAAGGAGGACGTGATTGTTTTTTTTTGTTTGTTTTTTTCTGTGAAGCTAAGTGAAGAGAGCTGTGACCTTCTGACTTCCGAGTCACAGTAAACCTTTCGCATTATGAAGTCGAATTTGGGAGAGTATTGAGATGAGATCAAAATAAATTCTCCCATTTCAAAGCAGAGAAAGTGAGGAAATGTTCTTCTTGTGTGTCTAAAACGATTGCTCCAAACCACAGGGACGGTAAAGCTGCCCCATGTCGTGCTTTGTTTTATGTTTCTGTCTTTAAAGTTCAGCCTGATGAAAACTCTGAGCCCAGATGAATGGCTCAGAGCTAAACACAGCATAATTAGCTCTGTTGTACCTGCAGTACTCATGGGAGGACATGTGCATCTGGCCTGTTCTTCAAGGACATTAAAATATGCAGGATCCAGTAACAGCTGAGACACTTGCAGCATTCGAATTAAGCTACCAAACCAGAAAATTAGGACACTATGTCAACTTTAAGAAGCCATGCGTAATCTCTTTAATCAATGCCGGTGCCAGCAGGCTACTGAGGGAAGTGATCTACTGATTTACTGATAATTAAGGTGCATGATTTGCTAACTTGATGTTTGTCTCTATTTTTCCTCCTGCTGTAGGCTCCGACTACTCTCCCCCTCCCCTCCCTCGGCCTCCTCCGGTTGGCTTGACGAACGAGCACAGAGGCGGCGGTAGCCATGGCGACCACAGCGGCGGGGGAGGAGGGGTCAACCGTGGGGTGGGTGCGGTTGGCCTTGCACCGGAGCACATTCCCACCCCGGGAGCAGCCCTGAGCTGGCAGGCGGCCATTGACGCCGCGCGGCAGGCAAAGATGATGGGCAACGCTGCGTCAGGCGGAGGGGCGGGGCTCGGGTCGGGCGGGGGCGGCCCCATTTCCACAGCCAGCTCCACGCAAAGGAAGAGACAACACTACGCTTCTAAACCCAAGAAACAAACCACGACGACAGCCACGAGGCCGCCGCGGGCCCTGCTTTGTCTCACACTCAAGAACCCCATCCGCCGGGCGTGCATCAGCATCGTGGAGTGGAAGTATCCTTTAACCAAACATCAGTAACAGATTATTTTTAATCTCTGCTTTGAACGCAGCTTGTTTTTACGCAAGCTTTCAGAGAGGCTTTCAGTCCAAATCACTGGACTGTGTTGATCTGGCACAACATGCATTTAAGTTAGTGGATGTTCATGGCAACAGTTGAAGCAGTTTAAGGTCTATGCTTGTGTGAGACTATGTGTAATTTTTATTCAGGCAGCATCAAGTCCCACAGAAATCAGGAATAGGAACTAACCATTTTTTCTTAAGTCACCTAAATATGCTTACAACTACAACTTGTAGAGGAAAGAGGTGCTTGATTTACTTTCCCCCACAGTTTTTTTTTTTTTTCCCCCAGACAGATACATTATGTTTGCACACTTTTGAACCAACATGAATAGATAGGCAACACTCACAGACTGGGCCAGTTTCATGCTGCTGAAAATTTGAAAAGTGTTTTTCGAGGTGGATTGGTTGACCTACATGCCTGTTGCGTTATTTCTTGTTTTAAAGCAGCTTAGAACAAGGAACAGTTGGAAACCCCAGAGACTGTTTTATCTTTCACTACAGATGATAATGTTAATCTCTTCTTTAGGGGACTCCAAACAATCCTCCCCATCTCATTTATTTCATAATAAGAGTGACGATCTTATTATCTTCTGAACTTTTCTGTTTTAATCACTTAATCACTCCTTTTATCTCATCTTATCCATCTTTCTCTGTCCCCCCCCATCCCCTTTCTTTTTTTTTTATTATTATTATTTTTGAAGCTCTAAATCACCTGATCCAGCCTCGGGGTGATGAATAGTAGGAGAGGGCCAAGGGAGGTGGAAACGATCAGTGTCACGATCGAAGTAATCAATACTGGGCGCGGGGTCACCATCAGCGTCGCCTCTGGAAAAGCGCAGCTACAAATCGACCTCGGAGGGACAGGAGGAGAGGAAAAGGAGGCGTCGGGGAAATGAGAAGGGCAGGGATGTGGGCAGGACGTGGATGTTGACAGGAGAGATAATGGAGTGGAGAAGCCGAGGAGGCTTGGGGGAGAGAGTGGGATGGAGGGTAAACAAGAAAAATTATATGGCAGGTGGAGGGCAAACAATCAGTGAAGGGAGGCAGGGAAGCAGTGTTATAACCAAGGGAAGCGAAGGGGGAAACTGGTAAATTGGCATTCGGAAAGATACATTTTAATTGTCTTTGCTGAGTGCTGCATTAAGTAAATAATGCATTACAGTGAATGTAACAAACTAGAAAAATAGGAGTACATTATGAGATAGATTTCCAGCACTTAATTTATGTTTTTTTTTCTTCTTATGGCTCTTTCTCTCTCTCTCTTGCACAACAGGGGGGGGGGAATTATCTGTGGCAATAAGTTTGTTTATAATAACTGATTGCGTAATTATTTGTGACATTCTCGCAAAACAGAAAATATATCAAAGCGCAATAAAAACGTTGCTCTGTCCAATTTAGTCCTGCATAATGTTTGATGTTCTGAATCCTGTCTCACTACACCTTCGCAAATTAGACGTATATTTATAAAAATAAAGCATCCTCCCATGGGATCAGTGATATATTTTTAAGTATGGTAATGTGCTTCAGCACTATAAAACTGAAAATATGGATTTTTTTTTTTTTTCCCCTCACCGGTCACCTTTTGCAACAGTGGATCTAAAAATAAGTCAATAAATAAAGATTTTATGGAATAGAGAAGCAATAAACCCCGAGGGTCACTTGAGCAGTCAAACCCGATGAAATATCAGTCTCTGGATCATTTACAACTCCCGGAATCACTTATTCGCACAGATCCAAAGGCAGAGATGAAAGAAGACGACAGGAGAAGTGATGAAGACCGAAAGACGTGAAAGGAAAAAAGAGCGACACAAACGTGCTGCGTTGAAATTCACCTGTACTAACCAGCATATTAGCCGTCATGTTTTGTCCTCGTTATTATCCGCTGAAAAGTCGTCATACGGTACAGCAAAAGCTGTGTGCAGCCAGTCAAAGCCGATCATAACACACCAGTATGACATGATGGAGCTGGTTAATGCTACCATTTACAATTTTCAATTTTAAGATCACCTAAAAATTTCCTCTGACGTCTCATTTGTTAAGGGGCGTGTCTCCTTCCCAATATAAACAGAAGAATTTAGCCTTTGCTTTTAAATCTGAAACGGAAACAAATATATACAGACACATTCGTGATGTTTATGTGAATCTTTCATCCTGTAATCAAGATATAGTTAAAGAGCGATAGCTGCAAACAATCGGAAACACATAAAAATAACTCGGCTAATTATTTGAATCCAACTTCAAAATGTACAAAATCCCCAACAAACCGTAAAAAACAGAGGTAACCAACTTTCTGCAGAGTCAATAGTTGCACACCTCTAAACTTTGTGTGGCCTTCAGATTAGCGCAAACGGGGCATGGAAAGTTTCATGAAATGGATTTTCATGACCGAGCCGCTGCATCCAAGTCTTACATCACCAAGTCAACATAAGTGTTGGATCCAGTGGTGTAAAGCATGCCCCCCTCTGGAGTCTAAAGCAGTGGAGATGGGCTCTCTGGAGTGATGAGTCATGACGGTCTGGAAATCCACTGAATACGTCTGGGTTTGGCAGTTGCTTGGAGAACGGCAATTACCCAACCGCACCGTGTCAAATGTAAAGTTTGGTCCGGAGAGGATTAAGGTGTGGGCCTGTTTTTTAGGAGTTGTGCTTGGGCCCCTTAGTTCCAGGGAAAGGAATCAATACATTCTGAACAGTGTCCTGCTCTGAGCTTTGTTTGGGGGTTGGGAGGAGGAATTTTCTCATTCAAAATGAGATCTGTGAAGACATGGATGAGCTGCTTTTGTGTGGAAGCAGAACCTCACTGGCACGCAAGGGAGTACTGACCTCACCCTGCTAGAAAACAAAAGAACAAGAGAAAAAAAATTGTCTGCGTCTGATCTCACATGTGTGCTAATGGAAGAATCATGAAACATTCCCATAAACGCACTCTTAAATTTCACAGAAAGCCCCTGCATGAAGTGAGCCAACACCATACCGAATGTCACTCAACTTCACGTGTGAAGATAGACGAGCAAGTACTTTTGGTGGTATATTGCATTTATGTGTAAGTCAATTTGAAAAAACAATTACGTACTAATATGTGTAAGTCATTTATGCGCATTGCGTATGTAAATATGTGCAGTAAAATATAAAATGTTGATTACATTGGTATATCTGAGCTTACTTATTGGATTCTGGTGAGATGAGAGATCATCGGTGCTACTGAGGTGTTTATGGGAGCCACTTGCCGTATCTGTGAAACAGCTTCTTGGTGTTTGTGTCTGGATGCAATCCCACTGGGAAAGTATGTCTTGAGTATATACAGCTGGCTGCTTGAGATGCTTAGCATAATGTTTATGTTAAGTTCTGAAGAAGTATTAGAGAGGAAATATCATGTTGTATGGGTTTAACGGTGGAAAACACCTGAATTTTCATTTCAGATTTGCTGCAGTAAGACGCAGAAGAAACAGTATGACACTCAGCCTCATGTCTTTTTTTTTTTTTCCACGCTGTTGAAGACACACTGCTGATTTCAGTCTTGCTACTTGATTTGATTCCTTGGTTAGGACTCTAATGTTTTGCTCTCAACACTACAGCAGCCAGAAGATTTATTATCATGTTGATGGAAGCAGACCTCCAGGGTTTTTTGGGTTTTTTTTAATTACGGGTCAGAGACCCAGAGTGAGTCACAGACTTGTGTTTCAGAGGATCTCAACATTTTTGAAGCTAGTTTGACCAGCCCTCGGTAAAAGAGCGAGAGATTGACCTCGAATGCGTCTTGATCCCAGGCTGAATGATCGCGTGGTTGAAAGTGATCAAAGGTCAAGTCTTAATCCAAATATAAGCATTTAGAAAAACTTTTTTTCCCCTTCTTCTTTTGTGACTGCAGAGTTGACCCTAAAACTGTAAGAAGTCAAACACTGTTCCTCCAATGACTAAATACATAAATAATTAGATTTTTTTTAAAGTACACTAATCTTCTGAAAAGACAGTTATTACAAACTTACAAAAAATAATGTTTAAAAAACCTGCGATAAGAGCATAAAGCACAATAAAAAAAAAAAGTTCACTACAAAACTAATGAAACTCGAACAAAAACTTGAAAAGTCAATGCAAAATCAATGACTTGGAGGGAGGACAGGTTTTTTTAAATGAGTTTTTTTTAATATATCACATTCTGAGTCTACCTTAGCTTAGATGTCCAAAACTCTCATTAGAATGCGTAATGGCTTAGGGAGTCATTACGCATGATTGCTAGGCTGTTGAGAAATGTAGAGTTAGGTGTTGAAGGTTTTAGATCTGTCTTCTGAAATAAGTTTATTCTGCAAGTACTATTTATTCATAGACACTTTTGGGATCCCCACCTGGAACAAGGGAAGTGGCTTTGGAGTGAGGCAAAAACAAAAGTACAGCCTGCTTAATCTATGGGTGTACTTTTGCCTTGTGTAGTTGCAATAATCCACCTTGCCATCATAGGAATACATAAAAGAAAGGGAAACTCTAAATCATGTAGTTATTATTTTCTGGATTTAGCATTTAGGATGTTAATAAAAGAGGTTCCTATTGCCAAAATACCTTAATAAATGTACACAATGTGATCGGAGTTTTAAAGTCTAACCTTATGCTAATCATAATTGAAAATTTCCTCAGGATTTTCTTTTTTCTTTTTTGGTTTAAACCTCATCATCTGACCTCAAAGCTTGACTGCAATTTGCTGCTCACTTTATAGGCCATCCTGAGTCTGGGCTAATTCTAGGTGAGAGATAATAAAAACTGTTGTCTAGGTAGAACAGAGAGGAGGATAGAGTAGAAAGGGAGATAAAGACGGGGCAAAAACAGAACACAGGAGTTGACACTGGTGGCAGTTTGTAGTTGTGTTGATGAAAACCAGACCTCCTCCATCTCTTGTTCACATTCTCTCCCTTTCTCTGTCTCCATCTCTTCACTCCCCACTCTCCCTTTCTCTCAGAGGCCTGAAATAATGAGGTCACTCCCCTCTCAAGGATCGCTCCAAATAAAAACCCTACGTTTCTCCTCTCATTTCATCGTGGCCTCTCTCTCTCTCTCTCTCTCTCTCTCTCTCTCTGTCCGCATCCTGTCTTCCACGCGACAGGCCTGCTCCTTGTCGCACCCATATTAGGACATGCGTTGTCTCCGAGTTTCCCCCGCCCACACACTTCAAGAGATTCCAAAGTTACTCTAAGTGTCGTATTGTTCACTAAAAGACAAGCTGAAGAGCTTTGATCTACCTAAGCAGAGGAACGTTGCTTTCTTGGCTGTGTATGAATACCTTTTCTTGTGTAAATGTGAAGTTGTTCTTTGGTGATTAGCAAGAGCCATTTCTGTGAAAAAAGATCTAAAACCAGAATTGTTAAAGAAGATTCTAGGGTAAAGAATATCTCTAAAAAAAAGGAATCAACTTTAATAAGTTAAAGTGAAAAGTTGGGTTTTCCACATCTCGACTTTGGACATTGTGGAGCTGTCATGGTTGATAGACCTCTTTTAATGTTGCACTTAGGCCTGGGGCTGCACCTGCAGAGTAGCAGATCGGTGTGGCGGTCACAATCTATAAAGAAAAGGGACTGAACACTGTGTTCCATCTATCAAAGGGCACATACTTCATGCTTCTCGGCCTCACAGAAAAAGGGTGTGCCGAATGGGAAATGGTGAGAACGACCGTCAGCTCCTCTCAGTGTTTAGGGCACGGTCCTCAACCGAGGAAAAGCGTAGACTGCCCCGTCTGTTTACTTTCAGCAGGGGACTTCAAGTGTCTTTGTGTCTTGCTGATGAAGAATGGTGGGGTGGGACGTACAATCCTGGCACAGCTCCGGTTTGTCGTGAAACAAGTTGTGCTGTATAAGGTCTGACCCCGTCGCTGACAAATTGGTTTCTTCTGTCGGGTGGATGAATTTAAAATTATAGATGAAGGTGGGAAACTCTGAAAAGAGCAGTGCCTCCTCCACATTGAGCAAATGGAGTCAGTCAAGGTGGTTCTTATAACCGATGATGAAGCCTGTTGGGTAAGAACCAACAAGCAAATCATTTTCCCTCCTGTCCCTCGACTTATACTGGGACTTTCAGAATAAGCTAGATAAATGGATGGGTGGATCTGTTTTGAATGCTTTGTAAACATTTTCTCTTGCACTTTACCTTTCTTTAACTCTCCACTCAGACCATTTGAGATCATCATCCTGATGACCATCTTTGCCAATTGTGTGGCCTTAGCCGTCTACATCCCCTTCCCCGAGGATGACTCGAATGCCACCAACTCCAACCTGGTAAGCAGCATATCACTGTGTCGGTTTTCTGAGCTGCTGCAAGCAGACGTTTGGTTTCACAGTTGCTCCCACTATTTGTTTGTCTTTGTTCTGTCTGCTGGGTTTACATTGTCACAACACATTTGACTTTGACTTGACGGAGAATGATGATGCATCTTCTTTGTTTGTCTGGGGGATTTGCTCTCTATGACTTGTTCGTGACAAGCCAGTCTCCTTATGGCATTTATGTTACCTGTCTTTATAATACAGTTATGCACAAAAGACGTTGTTAGAAGATGTAGAGAAACCATTTCATTTTGAAGAGAGCAAGAAAGGGAATCCCACCTGAATGACGCTAGTTCAGAATTACAGTATTGTTTAGTCTTGATTGCTCATATTAGGGTGTGGAGGTAATTGGAGCGCTTCAGTTACACTGAACGTGAATTGCTTTTTGCTTGGATGAAAGATCAGCTGTGAGCTCTTGTGTAATGCTGATTTCACTTGCTTTAATTGTCTAATTAGATACAATTTATGAAAAGGGCTGAACAAGTACCTGTGCTGTATTACTCATTTAGAAGGAAGTCCTCACTAAATCGCAAGATTCATCATTACAGACAGACAGACAGATAGATGGATAGAAACCTAAACTACTGGGTAGACTACTTGCCCAGCATGTTAAAACTGGCATGTTTGTCACTTCAAATTACTACTAGCATGTACATCTCTGCAGCATTTATACTTGTAGACAGACTATAATTCTTGCATCATATTTTCAGGACATCCGTACAAATAAATGAATTCCCCTGTTCCGACACTAGCTGCCAAACAAGCAGTTGCTTTATAAAAGCTGTGATTATGAACCTGACAGACAGCTGCTGGTTGTGCAGTTTGATGCAACGTGTTAGTGTAATAGACAGGTACGTAGGCTGTATTTATGGTGCTCATTTCCCATCCAGTCTGCGAATAGCCACCACTGACTAGTCAGTAATTTGTTAAATGATGTGTTGCTAATGTCACATTGACATCAAATATTTAAAATATATACATATTGTGGAGCTGTTGCTTTCTTTAAGACAAATCAGAACATTTTAATTTCACAAAAAAGCCAATTATTCACTGTGCCTTTTTCCTTTAACTTTTTTGTGCATTGAAAATAAGCTTCCTGCTGATTGTCTAGGCTCTTGTTACAGTAAGAAATTTACTTTGATATTTTTCCCGTAATTTCCGCTAATATTTCAGTTACTTCGTTCTGATGCCAGTTTTTTTTTTTTTTTTTTTTTAAAACTTTTTTGGGGGGTATGACATTTTCAAAAGCAATAGATTGATTTATTAAAAATTAAGTGTATTTGTATTTCATCAGATATAACTGAGAAAACTTTAGCTCAAATCATAAATTTGACCCGAAATATGGTATTTTCCAGGTTTTATCTTGCTTTTAGTTTGTGTGCGTTTTATTTATTACTTTATTGTTTAGATGGAGGCCCTTGCATCAAATCGTTATACATCACTGTGTGGGATTCATGTTTTTGCCGCTGTAAAAAGTTGGACGTTTATCCCTCTGATTATATGAAACCGCCGTCACTCTGACTGTTTATGTCTTCACTTCTTCTGAAAGGAGGATTATTTTGACACAGGTGCTCATTTTTAATCCCTCACGCCGCACTTTGCGACTTCATCCAAGTTGTCTACTATTGGATAAAAACGGTGCAGCCTGCACAGTATTACCAACAGCACAGTTGTCGTTTTTATCTTGTTTGTGTTTGACTAAATTAATAACCACACTCGCCCCTCTCCTGTTCTGTTTTGCAGTGTGAGAGCAGGTCTATGAGTCAGAGTAAATCAACCAAAGGACATTTCTCTATAATATCCATTAGAGGGCATTTCAATTCAAACCGACTGAGAGCAAGGCAAGAAAAAAAAGCCTGTCTTGTCCTACCGTTAAAAAAGATAAATGTGCTAGGTTTGCTAAACTTCACTGGGACTTTAACTGCAACCAAATGCTTTGGTCAGGTGAGACAAAAAGATCGAGGTTTCTGGCAATAAACAGAAACCTCAAATGTAGCCGAAGCAAACCAAGGATGTGGTAGAGGATCTTTGACGTTGTGGGTCCGTCTCGCTTCTGAAGGCCCTGGGAACCACGTTAGGACGCGTGGCATCATGAACTCGTTTAGAATCTAAATCCTACAACAAATCTTTGAGGTAAGCAGAGAAGAGAGCCAAAAAAATAAATAAATAAGAGGATCCAAGACCCTGGATAAAAAAGACAATTTGTTCCACTAGTGTGCCAAATACTGGGGGTTATTAATATGGATAATTATTGGCTAAAGTAATAAAAAACTTTCCACAAAGCCCTTTTTCTTTTAAAATATAATCTTATCTCATAACATTTGTTTTTGGTGTTTTTTTTTTTGTTTGTTTTTTCACCTTATACAAAGCACTTAAGCATTTAAGACTCCTTAAGTTGCACATACGGATCCCTACGTATAAGCCACTCACCGCCACCACAGCTGCGGCTAATTAGTTTTATAACCTTCACATATACAGGAAGCAATGTGAAGATAGATGGGGCAGAGGCTTAACTATGCGGTTGATGGAAGCATCTGTCTGGGTTCCGGTTTGGCAGTCTGAGCCGGTTTCAGACAGGCGGCGTTTGAAATGGAGACGTTTTAAGCAATGTCATCAAGAAACGTTTCCGGATTTGCAGCGCACATCGTTAAGTTGCTGCAAAGTGTTTACAAGTTAAAGAGACTTCAAGAAAACATTTGTTTTTGTTGATTTACAGGGGCTTTTTTTTAATCATTCTCATTGCATACATCTATAAAAACCGTGGTGTGCTTTTTTTTTGAGTCTATAGTAGCCGTTTTCGCAACCCTAAAATCCAGTGACAGTCCAGGTACAAGTGCAGTAAAATGTGTTTCCTCCTCCTTCCGTTTTTCCTTTTTTTTTTTTTTTTTGTCAAATTTAAACGCGCAAGACCAGCAGTAATAACGTGAGTAAACAAAAAAAGCAGTTCTCGAATAATGTCTTCAATTTTCACATGAAGAAGGACAGCTAAGCTGGACATGTGTGGAAATAAATTGGCCCCTAAACTTCATAAATGGTTGTGCCACTCTTGGTGGCATCAAGCAGAGCTGGCAATTTTTATTTATTTTTTTACATTACACTGTTGATGGATTATTTTTGTTAGTTCGAAGTCTAATTTCCAAAAGCCATCTTCATTTTTTCTTCTTGTTGAATCATAAACACAGACTTCAACTGACTCAAGTGATGTCTGAAGTACTTGGGATGTTTTTTCTGGACTCTTGTGAGCTCTGTTATGCATTGCCAATAAAGGAGCTGCCGAAGTTACTCGTTTTGGAGCGACTATGGTAGGTCAGCCTCTCTGGGAAGTTCACCGCTATTACATGTTTTCTCCCTTTGTGGATTTGTGGATAATGGCTCTTAATGGGGTTTGCTCAAGTCTTCAAAACCAAAAAATGGCCTTGTAACTCTGTCCAGATGTATAGATCTTAGTAACTCTGTTTCTCACCCATTATCTTTTATTTATTTGAGATCTGTCCAAAATAAATTACTTTTCGAGATCTTTTAGCCTATTTGAGCAGACAAAAATGTGACTAGTCACTATCATTTCATGATTAAACAAAGGTGACATGTTGCACATACTATCATGTTTGTTTGGTTGATATTTTCTACATACTGCAGTTATCTTTCACTTTAAAATTCATTTGATAGGGGGGGCAAAAACAGAACAATCTGTAAGGGGGGCATACTATTTCAATCTGCAAATTTATAATGTCATAAGAAGGAAATGTACTGATGTTTTTATTTTCAGCACACTTGTTACTTCTCGTCTTTACATACAAATGTTGAAAACTACAAGACAGCTCATTAAATCCCCATCATGTAAGCCCTGAAGCCTCACATAACGCTCAGAAAGAATGATATCTTATTTCAGGTCACTTGTCAATCAGTATTTTTGCCATTTGTTGAATTGTAATATCTCTTGTTTTGCTAGATTTTAGAAGGATAAAAACATCAGCATCATGGCTGTGGTTTAGTATCCTGGCAATGAGGTTTTATTTACTTCCAACCCGGCAGTATACTTGATTAATGACAGCCCTCCTTATATTTATAAGCCTCTTATGTAACACCAGAGATCTGTTGAATTGCTTCCTGTACAAGATTTCTATTTCAGTCTGCATCCCATAATGCGCTGCTTTGTCTCCTTGACGACATTCCCAATAATAGCAGCAGGAGAGGTTGTCATGGATATGGTAACCGTAGTGATGCTCCTCGTGTGCACTTGATAACAGAGAGAAAAAGCAGGTAGGAACCAAAGCGCAAAAAACTCTTCTCTGTCAGGGAGAAAATGCGGGCTGCACTTCAAAACAGTTTCACTAAATTGTGGCGTTTCTTTCCCTCCCCCAGCCCCAGTCCCTTTCTTCCATTGCATTTCTTCCCTTCAGTCTCTCTCCACAATCGATCGTAGCGAGGTCGATAGGAATGCTTTGAAATCGACAGAGTAATGATGTCATAGCCAAGCAATTAGCAGATCGATGAACCTGATTAGACACTGACTGATGAAGGGCAGAGCCACGGACAGAGACACATTTATACTTCAAATAGATATTTTCCTTTGAAATGCAAGGGTGACAAAGCTATTTTGACAGTGTGTGTGTGTGTGTTGGAAATTTGTACAATATCTGAAAATTGTCTGGTTCAGCCCTGAATCTAGAGTTCACCAAATCACCAAAGTATGGAAGCGTGTTACTTCAATACCAGCTTTAAAAAGTTACAGCTGAGACTCAGATTGTTGCCCAGTCTTCTATGAAAACAGCTCGAACTCCGTCACACTGGATGGAAACCATCACTAAATATCAGTTTTGAAGTCTTGCCACAAATTCTAATTTCAGGCCAAGGTCAGCGCTTTGACTAGGCCATTCCAAGACATTATTATAAATTTTGATCTCATCTAATCTAATCTGTTGCTTCCCTTGTTAATACTCTCCATGACCGGCTTG